ACTGTTTCCCTCGACGGCAGAATCTTCAGGTGTATTCTCAACCCACACTCTCGACGACATAAAATATTATTATTATGGGGGGCGCTAAACGCGTAGGAAGTATACAGCCCCTGTGGGTGAGGGGATGGAAGGTTATCAGTCTCATTTCAGGGAACTGGAGCACAGATCCAATTCCCTAGATCGAGAGCCCCTCACCAGCGTCTAGGACCCTTCCTTGAGGGGTCGACGATATGGAAGTACGTGGGAACGTTTCGCTCCCTGGTTACCTGGAGGTTATTCCGGGGATCAACGCCCCCGCGGCCCGGTCCATGATCAGGCCTCCCGATGGATCAGGGCCTGATCAACTAGGCTGTTACTGCTGGCCGCACGCAGTCCAACGTACGAGCCACAGCCCGGCTGATCCGGCACTGACTAGTTATCTGTCCAGCTCTCTCTTGAAGGCAGCCAGGGGTTTATTGGCAATTCCCCTAATGCTTGATGGGAGGCTGTTGAACAGTCTTGGGGCCCCGGGCACTTATGGTGTTTTCCATTAGTGTACCAATGGCGCCCCTACTTTTTATTGGGGGCATTTTGCATCGCCTGCCCAGTCTTTTATTTTCGTAGGGAGTGATTTCTGTGTGCAGATTTGGGACCATTCCTTCCAAGATTTTCCAAGTGTAGATTATGCTATATCTCTCCCTCCTGCGTTCCAACGAGTACAAGTCAAGTGCTTCCAATCGTTCCCAGTAGTTAAGGTGCTTGATAGAACTTATATGTGCAGTAAAGGATCTCTGTATACTCTCTAGACCTGCGATTTCACCTGCTTTGAATGGAGATGTTAATGTACAGCAGTATTCCAGCCTAGAGAGAATCCCCGGAAAAAAAAGGCGCAATACCGTGACTGGAACAATACACAAATAACCCATACATAGGCAGAAACGTATGACGACGTTTCGGTCCGACTTGGACCATTAATGTCATGAGTTCCTGTGTTTCTGTTATTTGTGTACTGTTGCGCTACTCCTGGGCCTTGATGCCTTTGTAATGGAAGATCCTTGATGCTTAGTAATGGAAGGAGATCCTTGATGCCTTTGTAATGGAAGGATATCCTTGATGCTTTGTAATGAAAGGAGATCCTTGATGTCTTTGTAATGAAAGGAGATCCTTGATGCCTTTGTAATGGAAAGAGATCCTTGATGCCTTTGTAATGGAAAGAGATCCTTGATGCCTTGTAATGGAAGGAGATCCTTGATGCCTTTGTAATGGAAAGAGATCCTTGATGCCTTGTAATGGAAGGAGATCCTTGATGCCTTTGTAATGGAAAGAGATCCTTGATGCCTTGTAATGGAAGGAGATCCTTGATGCCTTTGTAATGGAAAGAGATCCTTGATGCCTTGTAATGGAAGGAGATCCTTGATGCCTTTGTAATGGAAAGAGATCCTTGATGCCTTGTAATGGAAGAAGATCCTTGATGCCTTTGTAATGGAAAGAGATCCTTGATGCCTTGTAATGGAAGGAGATCCTTGATGCCTTTGTAATGGAAAGAGATCCTTGATGCCTTGTAATGGAAGAAGATCCTTGATGCCTTTGTAATGGAAAGAGATCCTTGATGCCTTGTAATGGAAGGAGATCCTTGATGCCTTTGTAATGAAAGGAGATCCTTGATGCCTTTGTAATGGAAAGAGATCCTTGATGCCTTTGTAATGGAAAGAGATCCTTGATGCCTTGTAATGGAAGGAGATCCTTGATGCCTTTGTAATGGAAAGAGATCCTTGATGCCTTGTAATGGAAAGAGATCCTTGATGCCTTGTAATGGAAGAAGATCCTTGATGCCTGCTTACCACTAAAATTGAAGTATTTTGGTTAAAAATCTATAATAAAGCGGGGAAATTAGCCAAAATACCCTGAAGGAAAATGTAAACTAACTTAGGTGTGTGATAATATTAGAAGTAAATGAGGAATTATGGGAATGCAACTAGAAGACTGAGTAGATCTGTGAATCACTATAACATAAACGTGGATGAGCATTTTTACGGAGCGATTTGCAATGTCAGCAGACTGGTATTGTAGTTGCCAGGCTTAGACTTGGTTACAAGTACTTCTAGCAGTTTGGTAAACACACACACTGACTGGTATTGTAGTTGCCAGGCTTAGACCTGGTTACCAGTACTTCTGGCAGTTTGGTAAACACACACACTGACTGATATTGTAGTAGCCAGGCTTAGACCTGGTTACAAGCACTTCTGGCAGTTTGGTAAACACACACACTGACTGGTATTGTAGTAGCCAGGCTTAGACTTGGTTACAAGCACTTCTGGCAGTTTGGTAAACACACACACTGACTGATATTGTAGTAGCCAGGCTTAGACTTGGTTACAAGCACTTCTGGCAGTTTTGTAGACATACACTGGTATTGTAGCAGCCAGATTTAGACTTGGTTACAGTACTTCTGGCAGTTTAACATACACGGATAATATGAGGTGCACGATAAACGCTCCACGTCGACAGTAAACTCGAAATCGTAAACCAATTTCATCATTTCTTTGTGTAGTACACAGAATGTGGTTTACATGTAATGGCAGTGTTAAGCACAAAAGAAAGCCGCTAGCATGCATAAACATTTCGGTCAAAAATGATCGAAATATCGTGTGTACTTTCAAAAGTGCGGGTTATTCCTTAAATTTCCCAGCCATGATATTGTGACTGTCTTCTTACGTGATGTTATTTCTTGGTTCAGGTACATGATCTACTCTGTAGGTGACTTAAATCTTTATAATGGTATAATTACCCATAGAATGTTAGGATACGTGCACAACTAATGCGACATTTTTATTGTGGCAACGTTTCGCTCTCCAGGAGCTGGTAACGACTTGATAAAGCTGAATAGCGAGGCGTTGCCATAATATAATGTCACATTAGTTGCATCTGTTTCCATTTACCCGACTTAAATTCAGTAAGTGTTAGGGGACCACGACTCCTCAACACCCTCCCTTCATACATAAGGAGAATTACCAACAGACCCCTGGCTGTCTTCATTGGGGAACTCAACGGATTCCTCATAACAGTTCCTGATCAGCCGGGTTGTGGTGCAGACGCTGGACTGCGGTCAGCGGGCGGGCACTAACAGCTTGATGGGTCAGACCAGCAACCAGAAGGGCTGGTCTGGGACCGGGCCTCGGAGGCGGGGACCCCCGAAATTAGGTAACCTTCAGGTGTGAAGGGGATTTGTCACGCCAGGTAGGGGAAAGTTGGTAGGGGGTCAGGGATTTAAAAAGAGGGGAGGGCGGAGGCAGCCGGAATACAGATGATGATAATGATAATAATAATAATCTTTATTTCTACCAGTACATGATACAACTTAAACAGACCATAGCTGACATCAGTGACATATATAGAAAGTCCCTTGTTATGCAGGGCATTTTGGACAACTTAGGTTAATTTTGTCCGCAGGATGCGACCCACACCAGTCGGCAAACACCCAGGTACCTACTTCCTGAACATGGACTTCTTAGGTGAACTTGGACAGCAGGTGTCTGAAAGAAACACGTCCTGTTTCCACCCGTTCCGGGGATCAAACCATGGATACTCAGTATGTGAGCTGAGTGCGTTACTAGTCGAGTTACGGGAGAAGGAGAGAGGTAAGAGATACGGTAGAAGGAAAGAGAGGATGATGTCAAGACGAAAGAATGGAGAAAGAGACAGAGAGAGGAGCCAAATAAGGCAAAAGGGGGGGGGGCGTTAAGTGGTAGCACATGAGTGGTTTAGGGGGTAGGGGGGAGAACTAAGCTGTTACTTTTCGAGAAAGAATTAGGTTAGGGGAGAAGTGGAAGGGGTAAGTTGGGGAGGGGGGAGGCAGCAGAGCGGGAAGAGCACCAGGGAGAGTGGGCGACTTCCGGTTTGGAGTCCTCTTACAAGGGTGAGAAGAATGGAAGTGGAACAGTGCCACATGGGGTGGTAAGTGGAACAGTGCCTCATGGGGTGGTAAGTGGAACAGTGCCACATGGGGTGGTATGTGGAACAGTGCCACATGGGGTGGTAAGTGGAACAGTGCCACATGGGGTGGTAAGTGGAACAGTGCCACATGGGGTGGTAAGTGGAACAGTGCCTCATGGGGTGGTAAGTGGAACAGTACCACATGGGGTGGTAAGTGGAACAGTGCCACATGGGATGGTAAGTGGAACAGTGCCTCATGGGGTGGTAAGTGGAACAGTGCCACATGGGGTGGTAAGTGGAACAGTGCCACATGGGGTGGTAAGTGGAACAGTGCCACATGGGGTGGTAAGTGGAACAGTGCCACAAAGGGAGGATAGTAAGTGGAAGGAGCCAGAGTCTACAAAAGACAGGCACTGCAGGTAAACACTGTCCACAGTTTTAAGAGTAGGTATGACTGGGTCCTGGGTTAGGTTAGGTAAGTTTTATCAGGAAACAGGAGAAGTGTTTCCAGACGCAGGTCTTAGTCATATGATGACCCATCGTTGGAGCTTTTGGTCATCTGACCGAGGACTTCCGCTGGCTTACCCCTCTACCCTTTAAAGATTAGTCACAGTTATAACCATTCTGGGTCCTGAGTACTAGTTGAGAGGCGAGACGAGAGCAGAAGCACTTCAGCACAGCTCCTGGCCCCCGCCTCATTACTGGTCGCCACGAGGTCCATTCCCTGCTCCATGAGCTTTATCATACCTCGTCTTAAAGCTATGTATGATACCTGCCTCCACTATCTCACTTTCCAGACTATTCCACTTCCTGACAACTCTACGGCTGAAGAAATACTTCCTAACATCCCAGTGACTCATCTGAGTCTTCAGCATCCAGTTGTGACCCCTTGTTGCTGTGTCCCATCCCTGTCCACATTGTCGATTCCTCTCAGTATTGTGGCCATGATGGAATTTGATGCATTGTGGGGAGGATGCTACTCTCCCCGCAGTGCTACACTCCCCACTAAGGGCGAAATGTCATACGATAATAATAATAATAATAATTATTATAACTGATAATGATATTAGGAATGTATTTCTTTCCAGGGTATGTGTGGGGGTGGAGTGTCGCTCTGGCTGGTTAAAGGGGACCCATACAGCCGTAGCTGGCGGTATGTACTGCTCTGATGTTGGCAACGGTAGCGAGACAACGGCAGTGAGGCAACGGTAGCGAGACAGCGGTGGTGAAACAACGGTGACGAAATAACGGTAGACAACGGTTGCGAAATAACGGCAGTGAGGCAACGGTGGCGAAGTAACGGTAGTGAGGCAGTGGTCGCGAAATAACGGTAGTGAGACAACGGTGGGAGAAACAACGCTAGTGAGGCAACGGTTGCGAAATAACAGTACTGAAATAACGGTAGTGAGACAACGGTGATCAAGTAATTGCAATGAGAAAACGGTGGCGAAACAACGGTAGTGAGGCAGTAGTGTGAAACAGGAGTGCTAAGGCAATAGCAGTGAAATAACGGTACTCTGAATCAACGGTACGGTGTGGCAACGACAAGAGTGAAACAACGGTACTATGAGATAACGATAATGAAGCATCGGTAGTGGGTGATGGTGGTGTGGTGAAACTGTCGTTACAGTGGTGATGCAGTGAGATTGGTGCAGTGGTGATACAGTAGAATCAACGGGAGAAGGAGTAAAATTGGTACCTCATACTTTTAGCAGTGTGTTTACATTGGTGTGTTGTGTTGGTTACTGTTCCATTGGAAGAGCCGTCCCACTGGAATTACGGTTCCATTGCGGGTGCCGTTGCATTGGCATTACTGTTCCACTGAAGTTACTGTTCCATTGGAACCCATGCACTGGATTTAACCTGCTCACACTCTTTCAAACTTCCACGTGAGTAGTCTTGCATTGTTAAAGTGGCTCACTGGTGTTACAGTGACTCACTGGTGTTAGTGACTCACTGGTGTTACAGTGGCTCACTGGTGTTACAGTGACTCACTGGTGTTACAGTGGCTCACTGGTGTTATAGTGACTCACTGGTGTTACAGTGACTCACTGGTGTTACAGTGGCTCACTGGTGTTAGTGACTCACTGGTGTTACAGTGGCTCACTGGTGTTACAGTGACTCACTGGTGTTAGTGACTCACTGGTGTTACAGTGGCTCACTGGTGTTACAGTGGCTCACTGGTGTTACAGTGACTCACTGGTTACAGTGACTCACTGGTTACAGTGACTCACTGGTGTTAGTGGCTTACTGGGGTTAGTGACTCACTGGTGTGACTCACTGGTGTTAGTGACTCACTGGTGTTAGTGACTCACTGGTGTTACAGTGGCTCACTGGTGTTACAGTGGCTCACTGGTGTTACAGTGACTCACTGGTGTTACAGTGACTCACTGGTGTTACAGTGGCTCACTGGTGTTAGTGACTCACTGGTGTTAGTGGCTCACTGGTGTTACAGTGGCTCACTGGTGTTAGTGGCTCACTGGTGTTACAGTGACTCACTGGTGTTGGTGGCTCACTGGTGTTACAGTGACTCACTGGTGTTACAGTGGCTCACTGGTGTTACAGTGACTCACTGGTGTTACAGTGGCTCACTGGTGTTACAGTGACTCACTGGTGTTAGTGGCTCACTGGTGTTACAGTGACTCACTGGTGTTAGTGACTCACTGGTGTTAGTGACTCACTGGTGTTAGTGGCTCACTGGTGTTAGTGACTCACTGGTGTTACAGTGACTCACTGGTGTTAGTGGCTCACTGGTGTTACAGTGGCTCACTGGTGTTACAGTGACTCACTGGTGTTAGTGGCTCACTGGTGTTACAGTGGCTCACTGGTGTTACAGTGACTCACTGGTGTTACAGTGGCTCACTGGTGTTACAGTGACTCACTGGTGTTAGTGACTCACTGGTGTTAGTGGCTCACTGGTGTTACAGTGGCTCACTGGTGTTAGTGGCTCACTGGTGTTACAGTGACTCACTGGTGTTACAGTGGCTCACTGGTGTTGCAGTGGCTCACTGGTGTTACAGTGGCTCACTGGTGTTACAGTGGCTCACTGGTGTTAGTGACTCACTGGTGTTACAGTGGCTCACTGGTGTTACAGTGGCTCACTGGTGTTATAGTGACTCACTGGTGTTACAGTGACTCACTGGTGTTACAGTGGCTCACTGGTGTTAGTGACTCACTGGTGTTACAGTGGCTCACTGGTGTTACAGTGACTCACTGGTGTTACAGTGACTCATTGGTGTTAGTGACTCACTGGTGTTACAGTGACTCATTGGCGTTAGTGGCTCACTGGTGTTACAGTGACTCACTGGTGTTAGTGGCTCACTGGTGTTAGTGACTCACTGGTGTTAGTGGCTCACTGCTGTTAGTGACTCACTGGTGTTACAGTGACTCACTGGTGTTAGTGGCTCACTGGTGTTAGTGACTCACTGGTGTTAGTGGCTCACTGGTGTTAGTGGCTCACTGGTGTTAGTGGCTCACTGGTGTTACAGTGGCTCACTGGTGTTAGTGACTCACTGGTGTTACAGTGGCTCACTGGTGTTACAGTGGCTCACTGGTGTTACAGTGACTCACTGGTGTTAGTGGCTCACTGGTGTTACAGTGACTCACTGGTGTTAGTGACTCACTGGTGTTAGTGGCTCACTGGTGTTACAGTGGCTCACTGGTGTTACAGTGGCTCACTGGTGTTAGTGACTCACTGGTGTTACAGTGGCTCACTGCTGTTACAGTGGCTCATTGGTGTTACAGTGGCTCACTGGTGTTGCAGTGACTCACTGGTGTTACAGTGGCTCACTGGTGTTACAGTGGCTCACTGGTTACAGTGGCTCACTGGTGTTACAGTGACTCACTGGTGTTAGTGACTCACTGGTGTTAGTGGCTCACTGGTGTTACAGTGGCTCACTGGTGTTACAGTGACTCACTGGTGTTAGTGACTCACTGGTGTTAGTGGCTCACTGGTGTTAGTGACTCACTGGTGTTAGTGACTCACTGGTGTTAGTGACTCACTGGTGTTACAGTGACTGGTGTTACAGTGGCTCACTGGTGTTACAGTGGCTCACTGGTGTTAGTGGCTCACTTGTGTTAGTGACTCACTGGTGTTAGTGGCTCACTGGTGTTAGTGACTCACTGGTGTTAGTGACTCACTGGTGTTAGTGACTCAATGGTGTTACAGTGACTCACTGGTGTTACAGTGGCTCACTGGTGTTAGTGGCTCACTGGTGTTAGTGACTCACTGGTGTTACAGTGACTCACTGGTGTTAGTTGCTCACTGGTGTTACAGTGGCTCACTGGTGTTACAGTGACTCACTGGTGTTAGTTGCTCACTGGTGTTACAGTGACTCACTGGTGTTAGTTGCTCACTGGTGTTACAGTGGCTCACTGGTGTTAGTGACTCACTGGTGTTAGTGACTCATTGGTGTTACAGTGACTCACTGGTGTTACAGTGGCTCACTGGTGTTAGTGGCTCACTGGTGTTACAGTGACTCACTGGTGTTAGTTGCTCACTGGTGTTACAGTGACTCACTGGTGTTAGTTGCTCACTGGTGTTACAGTGGCTCACTGGTGTTACAGTGACTCACTGGTGTTAGTTGCTTACTGGTGTTACAGTGGCTCACTGGTGTTACAGTGACTCACTGGTGTTACAGTGACTCAGTGGTGTTACAGTGAGAATTATACCCGTATATAGTGGTGGGGCGTTAACACTTATATAGAGTGGAAGGGTGTTACATTGTGTTGTGTTATATACAGTGTTAGGGTGTTACACTGTGCTGTGTTACATACAGTGTTAGGGTGTTACACTGTGTTAACACTGCAGCAGTAGGTGATTCACTGTGTGCGCTGTTTTTGTGTGTAGATTGTGTTTTATTTTATTGGGGAGCAAATACCCTCCCCCAGGGGGAGGGCCACTCAAATGTGGCCCCGATTTACCGATATACAGGAGTTGGACAGGCGCCTATGGTCAGTACCCGACCAGCCGGGCTGTGGTTCGTACTTCGGTTTGCGTACGGCCAGCAGTAAGTCTGGTTTATGAGGCCCTAATCCACGGCGAGGCCTGGTCATGGACCGGGCCGTGGGGGCGCTGACCCCCGGAACACCCTCCAGATATTCTCATAATGCGCTCTAGAAGTATTGTGTTAAACGGGAAGAGTGTGTGTGTTTATGGAGGATGTTATTCTGGATTATTAACCCAGAGGGTAAGCCACCCAGAATAACCCGATAAAGTCTAGGTCATCTGGAACTGACTGACACCCTTATTTCCATTGAGGTCCTTTAATCTCCGCCTGGAATGCGACCCACACCAGCCGGCGAGCACCCAGGTACCTACTTCGCGCTAGTAAATACTAGTTGAACAGGGGTAGCAGGTGTCAGGAAACATGTCCAGTGTTTCCAGCCGTGCTGGGGAGCGAGTGCAAACATAAGAACATACAAAAGAAGGAACACTGCAGCAGGCCTACTGGCCCAAGCCAGTCAAGTCCAAGGTTGTGATAAATGGTTTAGAAAACCGACAAGTTGAAGAATTGAGACACTTATGCAACACATGGGAATCTTTATAAAGATTCCTGTGTTGCATAAGTGTCTCAATTCTTCAAGTCCAAGGTTGGGGCATTGGCTTAAGTCGGTAGGAGACTTGGACCTGCCTCGCATGGGCCAGTAGGCCTGCTGCAGTGTTCCTTCTTTTTTTAAGTTCTTATGTGATATATTAGACACATGTGCAACTCTTGGGTACCCAAGAGTTGCACATGTGTCTAATATATCAACATGTCGGTTCTCTGAACCATTCATCTACAAAGTTCTTATGTACATCCACTCAAGAAGGAACAAGCACTGCAACAGACCCACTGACCCAAGCCAGTCAGGCCCACACCCACTCATAAGAACATGAGCACTACAGAAGGCCTACTGGCCCATGCTATGTAGGTCCATGACACCTATTACATAAGAGGAAATATAAACACATATGCAGTATAATGTGATCCTTTATTGACAACGTTTCACCCACACAGTGGGTGACTTGAAAAAGCCCACTGTGTGGGTGAAACGTTGTCAATAAAGGATCACATTATACTGCATATGTGTTTATATTTCCACTGTGTCGGTATTTGATACCATTTATTTCCACCTATTACATAAGAACATAAAGGAGAAACACTGCAGCAGGCCTGCTGCCCCCATACTAGGCAGGTCGTTCACAAATCCAACTCACTAACAGAATAACTTTTGATAATTCTATTTACTCACGTGTAAGTCCCACTCCAGTTAGCACAAGCTAGTCAGGTCCAACTCACTTGTTTCCGTTAAGGTTCTCAACCCAACTAGGTACAAGCATATAAAGGAGAAACTTGAAGAACAGGAGGAGAATGAGGTAATCAGTCCCTCAACCTTGAGTCGATGTGTTCAGTCCATCAATCTTGAATAGAATACGGCATATCAGCGGAGAAGCAGCTTATAAACCGTAGGCAGGAGAGGTGCAGCAGTTATAGGTGGTGTCACATTTGTTCAATGTGGAAGTAGGTCGTGCCCAAGAATTAGGCAAGCGAAGAATTCCTAAGTATTAAGATATGCCGTATTCTATTCAAGATTGATGGACTGAACACATCGACTCAAGGTTGAGGGACTGATTACCTCATTCTCCTCCTGTTCTTCAAGTTTCTCCTACGTATGGACTGATGAAGCCACTGTGTGGCGAAACGTTTCCTCAATAAAGATACCCAAGAGTTGCACATGTGTCTAATTTATCTACATGTCGGTTCTCTGAACCATTCATCTACAAAGGTACACATGGTTGATTGCAACATGGTGATTGCAACATGGTGATTGCAACTACCCCAGTGGAATACACAAAGTTTTAGCTTCAGTGACGGTACTCGGGAGTTTGTTCCACTCATCCACAACT